ACTTTTGTAAGCCACGAAAGGCTTACAAAAGCTTAAATGGCACAGAAAGAGGACGCTGGTTATTCTAGGAAAGGAGTGACAATCGTAAGCAAGAACTAAAGAGCCATTTAAACAAAGAGTCCACTGAATTGAGTGAATCTCCAAATCTACCACAAGTCAGGGACCCTTTACAGTGCCTCTAAAGAGCTCCTCCCAAGAGCTCCTCCCATCCTTGCTGCTATCCCCAAAAGCACTTTACACTCAAATGTCCAATCATGTCTCTACACCAACTCTTTTCCATTATGTCAGGTTTCTGCTGAAAAACCTTCAATAATTCTCCAAGGTATGAGGACCACATTCCCAACCTTCTTTCCAGGGCCCTTCACAAAGTGAAACCAACCTCGCCATTCATCCCGGACTGCTCCCTGAGGTCTACTCCCTGAAACGCAATCTCTCTTTTCCAGCCAAACTGGTCTCCTCGCTCTTCCACCACAGCCAGTGTTCTGGTTTCTTCTCAGCTGTTTCCAATCTGACAAGGTTCTAGCTCTTACTTAAAACACCAGTGAGTTTCAAAAGTCCCAGCAAACTTTTCCACCTACATGCTTGTCCCTGGCAACATTAGAATTCTTGTCATTTCACCTTTCAACTAACACACCTGCATTTCCTTTTTAATCATTCAGCACAGTGCACAGTTTCAAAATCTTCCTTAGCTTCAAGTGACTTCAATCACAGAAAAACAAGGGCCAGGGCCTGGGCCTCTGCTTCATTCTTTATTATCTCAATCACAACATTAACAAATGTTAGGTGCTGAATATTTGCTTATTACTAAATAACTGAACTCAGCAGTAAGCCTTCTGGTCCTTACCGCCCTCGGACTTCAAATATTTATGGCAGATATCAAAGACGCCTCAAGAAGTCCAAATTAAATAAATCCAAGGAGTATGTAGTGCATGTGAGAGTGTGGGCTCTTACCGGGCAATTAGAACAAGATTTACTAAAACTATTCTGAAGATACACAAATGGCTATTTTTGCAAAAAAAAAAAAAAAAAAAAAGTGTAAAGCTTCTGGAAATGCAAACAATTTGACCTACTTGGGTTGTTATCTGCAGCTCCTCTTTCCAATGGCCTTCCCCGGACTCTCCAGACTCCAATGTTACAGTAAAGCTCAAATAAGTAAATGATTGGCCTACACGAGGGATGGCGAAACTTTTGCAGCTTTCAAGGATACAAAAAAGCTGCTGCAGCACTGGCCTGGAATAAAATTTCAAACGGCTTCATCAAGCCATTTACAAATGCTGTGGAACCTTATTAATACCTCCAAAAGGTACAGCCGGAGAAACTAAACACAGAAGAATTACATGACCTGTCCGATTTCC